AACACAAGATTTTAATTTGTCACTAGTTAAAATGTCAAAGTTTACCTAGTGACTAATCCAAATAGAACATGATTCTCACCAACATCTGGAAGTCCCTCCTTTCGCACGGTGAATGTCTTCTTCTTTTCATGATCGAAAACAGCTATCACATCCGAAGACTTGAGATAAGCGCGGTCCACCTGCCACAAAAAATGAACTACACTTCATTAGAGGGAGCGTTTTGGATCCACTGACAGGTTGAGAAGGTTTTGGGAAAACACGATTACCTCAGATTCGAATGTTAAGGCATCGCCTTGTTCTGTAAATCGCTCCTTTTGACACAGGTTGTCTAGATAGTCTAGAGTCTCCAATCCCTCAATCCTCACTTCACTGTCAGTCCAGATTATATTCACTTAAATCTCGGAACTTCAATTAGTCTTTAGTTAGATTATGCTTAATTAAACATTATGTACCTGATATCCGAAATGGAGAAGTACGTATGATAAGCAAACGCGAAGCTGAAAGGCTTGCAGTTGATGTTCCTGATGCGCGATATAAGCGTTAGATGCCCTTCGGCTGCCAGTGACACCCTAAGGCGAAACTCAAAACTGAAAAACATGTTTCAAATCATCATGTTAGAAACCAATATTTGTACACAAAGCATTAGTATGCTACTTTTTTCAGAATTCATGCTGCTATATGTGCTACCTATGTGGCCAGATCTTCATATCATCGTCGGATGGTTTGAGCAGCAAGTCAACGTAGGCTTTTCCATTCGAATCATTCGGACGTAGAGGTGGAGGATCATTGTCAATGGCCCAAATCCTATTCCTGGCAAACCCGTTATGGTCCAACGATCCGGTCCCAACCTGCGGAAAACAGATTGGAATTCCTCCTCGGACTGCTTTTGGAGGCTTAAAAATCGCCTTCATAGACGACACAGAAAATATATTAGCTAACATAGGAAATCAGTGTACATTTTCCCGATTGTTCATGAATAACAAATGAATAAGCATAGATAACTTCTTCACCTTGCTACTAATGAACAACAATTCTTCGTTGCGTTCGGTTTTCCATGACAGAACCTGGCCTCCGTGCAAGCTCACCTGGATTGTGTTTGCACAACAACATCAGAATGCATGTAAACTATAAATCAGCAATTTTAAGCCTGTTGAAGTATACTAAGTCCTACGTCGGAAACCTGACTAAATAAAATACAACTTATTATATTGAATGGTTCCGCTATTAATAGACTAAACCGTGATGGTTAAGTTGAGGACAATATCGATGTTGGTAAAAAAAATCTAACCCGAACAGAGGCTCCTCGCGGGTTCTGAAGATGAACTTGATCGATTCCATTCTTGTCCTTCGAAACTTCAACTGCTGATCCAGAATCATTCATTTCAAGAACACAGCAAGAACACCAATTGAATAAACAAGACCACAGATGACTCTCTCTCTCTCTCTCTCTCTCTCTCTATTGAAAAACAGCTTCAAATCTGTAGGAAAAGAAATAGTCAGCTGCTCATTCAATCAAGCAGTTGAGAAACTCAACTTTCACATGAACCTTTCTTGTGACAAAACCTATATTTTCCTGTGAACTCAAACCAAATTCCCAACTACCAACCCAACTCTCACTTTTTGAACAGGTCCAAATTTTGTGAAGAAAAACTGGATAACTAATTACCCAAAAAATGAGACCAAACTGTCTTAAAATTCCTGCACAATCCCGGTTTCAAACCAAAAACAAAAAGAATTCATGATAGGAACAATTGTATGACAAGTAGGAAGAAAAACTGGAAGCTATGACATAAGAAGAAATGAGGTCAAAACACCTTTATGGACGGAAATAATTTATCTATACACCACAATCTAGCGTTTGGGGCGCTCCTGATGAAGAAATATTAAAACGTCAGATCGTATACAAGAGATCAAAGTCCTTGGGTATGTCCTAGGAGGGTTACTGTTCACGATTAAGAATAAATTACCACTTGCATGCAGAAGTTTAAAAATTGACAATCACATATTATGTACTTTTCTAAAATATTGGTGTTCATGTGTATTTACATGTGCGTGTACGACACGGGAAATTTAGCGACCAGCCAACCATGATGTAGTCTTTGCTGATTTCTACACGTGATATAGACAAGTATGAACATGCCGACCATTTTAACTGAATTAACTAACCCATTTTTAAAAGTAAAATAGAGAACAAAGTGGGAGGTATGAAGTTTTTGACTTTTTTGATTGTCTGATTGTTGAGAAAAGCTTGCATGCAACTGTTTCGTTCATATGATAATATTAAATGACTGAACATTTAGTTAAAAGATAACATATGCGTTAATTTGATGATATGATGCATTATGTCAAATTTTAATGGAATACATGCTTTATATTTTATTGCTAAAATTTAATAATTTATGCAATAAACTCTGCATAATTTGAGGTGAACCAGGCAGATTGTCTGCATTAGACGTTGGCCAGGAAAATTGACGAAGAAAAGATATGATTGAAGCAACTTTTTTCTTCAAATCTTGAAAATTGAATAAAGAATGTTATCAGTGTCTCATCTTGCCAACAATGCAAATTCAAACAGTTTATTGTGTAAAGTTACAACACAAACCAAAATATGATATAGAATAACTTTGATCGATAAGTAGTATGTACTTATTACGAATATATTTGAGGAGAGTTTTTGTCACGACATGGATTGTATACATATTTGTGCTTGAAACACATATTTTGTGATTTACTACTAATAAATGATAATATATAACTAGCTTAATTGAATTAATAGTTTATGCGGTGATAAAATAGTCGGAAGATAACTTATTTGATAAAAAAACATTAGAATTTAAACTCCTATAATGAATTGTGTTAGGTTTTAGGCTCAAAATTAAATTGTTATCAACTTTCCATTAATTATTAGCACGTGAGACTCACATGTGAGGTTAAATTTATTTTTAATCCTTTAAAACCATTCTAATTCCAGTCTTTATACCCAACGGCCAACACAAAGAAGGAAAAAAATCCATTCAGTATCCCTCCGAATTCAAACCAAAATTGTCTTGGAACCAAGGTCGAGCAATGAAACCAAAAAGCCGCGATAAGATGGGTGTCAGGATTCTCCGCGAAAAATCGAAGTGGGTTTGAGGGAGAAATGTAAAAGGGTTGTTGAAACTGTTTAAGCTCACTGAAGTGTTGAAAGGGGTTTTACTGATGAAATTTTTTGTTTTGATTTTTAATTGATGTTGATTTAATGAGTTTGTAAAATTTTAATTAAATTTTGGTTTTTACAAAGCCTTTGATTGTTATTCCTTTGGTTTTTACACGCCTTCCCTGCCGTGGAAGGGGTTCTTTTCGAGGAGAACCAATTGAGGAGAAAACCAACCGGAGAAAAGGAAATTATTATTATTATTATTTTAAGATTATACCTGTAAAAGTCATAGAAAACATTACCTAATTAAGGGCCCATTTTGTGGCTTGAATGGAATTAAGCCCGAAGGATAGGATTAGATTGTCCGAGACACGTAAGATAGGACTTGCAATCCGTATATAATGATAGATTACGTAAATTATATTATCGTGGATTCACAACTCATCTTATCCAATCTTGTCCATCTTACATTTTGACATAATAAACAATTAATACAGACCCTAAAGATCTCAAGATTTGCATCAATATCTTAGAATTATGGGGTGACGTTCCCTTCCACTCTTCTCCTAATCATTAATGTGGGTGTGGCTATTGAAACACGAACCAAATTTCTTTGATTTTAATCAACGATTTCAGTTTCCAATTGGATTTCAAACAATGAACGCCCACATCGCGTTTCATTGTTTCAAATTGAGAGGGAACGATGAAGGGGCTTTATTTTATCTATTTACCTTTTTTTTTTTTTTTTTGGTTTGAACAATGGGTAAAAACAAATGGAAAGAAAAGTTTAGCCTCATATGTGCAGATCACATGCTAAATTTTAACAAACTTCATCATAGAGGTTATTAAATTCTACTCTTTCTTCTACCACAGTAGTAATTTTCCGACTACCCTATTATCACATAGATTATTAATCCAATTAGGCCTATATAAATTTGTGTCTGGAAACGTAAAAGCTAAGTACATAACCATACGTACATCAAATGTTGTGTAAGTTTGACTCTTTCATGAGGGATCATGACAGGAAACATATTTGATAGAAACTTCAAACTGAACCCCACAAAGGGGAGGCCCAAAAACAGGGCGAATTCATAAATCCATAGAAAGTTGCAGAAGTGGACGAAGTCCAAACTCCTTACCAAAGGACCCATAATTTTCCTTCTTTTCCAGAATTTTGACTCACTATTGAGCTTTGAATTGAAAGGCACTGGGAAGGAAGGACGGTGATTTGGGGTTGAAATTCAACATCATGGATACACTCTAGGTGCAACGTACCAACACTAAAAATTATGAAAATTCCCTTTAAAAACCCCTTTTGATTTGCACTTTTTCAATGACCAATTATAATCTTATCTTTCAACAAACAAAAGGATGGTATTTGCAGCGTTTAACTTGGAGAGTGGGGTGGTTGAACCTTACAACAGACTAACAATAATATAGTTCAAATTCGCCTTTGGAGATAATCGAACCTAAAACCTCTCACTTACCAGTGAAGAGGAATACCACTAGACCGTAGTACTAAATGACACGTTTAACTTAGAACTTAAAAGGACACTTTACACGATATTTGAACTCATAATTTCCTCCGATAAATTATGGATAATGGATACCGCTATATAATGTGATCATGTGATAAAACTTTAAACAATTGAAAAGCCTCCTTGTGAATTACTGTACAAGGTATAAGTCGATTAAAGGATCTGTTATTAACACTTAAAAAATAATCGTAATGCACTCCTCCCCAGTGATAAATGAGAGAGGAGTTCATAATGACCTTTTTTTTTTTTTACGCCAATAATCAATCCCTAGATTAACATTTTCACTCGAAAGTCGAAACAATTTGAATCTCATGGACATGGTCGAATTTCTAGTAGAAGGATCAAAATAATAAACCAATTTTAAAGAGAACATTCTGTCAATCTAACAAGGATTCTGCAGTAACAATTACAAGTCACTTTCAGAGACCTATCCAGGAATGTTCATGTTCATATGGAAACACACTTTTAGCCTACCCTAATCTACTCGCAAAATCGCCACGGCAATCTCGAATCTAATACATCAATCATGGCACAAAGGAGAGTTGAAAGCTAAAGGAACCATAAATTAGCAAGTTCTTTTTCTGACCCTCTTCCACTCGGAATTTCCTGTATTCCTGCTGGTTGTAAACCGAAAGTTAAGTTAATGAGGTCTATCAGTCCACCGAGACTGATGTGAGGCTGCAGACAACACCAGCTTCCTTATCATCTAGCAGCAACAGCATCAGTCCTAGCGTTTGATTCCATCAGCTGATGGAACTTGGTTTCAGACGTGGAACTTTCATGTTTCTCGCGATCCAGTTCATCATTCCTGCTTACAGAACCCAAATTGCTCAGTATATTTTTGGCATCATTTGGCAGGTCCAAGTCTACTTCAATCTTAACTGAAACAATCCCTCCTTGCGTCACCGCCTGAGCATTTTTCAGCTTCTCCTACAAGACAAAACTCATGTGAGATCGAGCTGCAAGTAAATGTAAATATATCTTAGGTTGAAACAAACTAGGATGACCAAATCAATTTTCCTCAATTTTTCATGTTCAACTTAACTCAGTAGCACATGCTACAACATATCTGATCAAAACCCATTCTGACACCACACCCCTCACTCAATTGGTAAATTCCTACACTCGGTCAATTTTTGGCAACCAAAAGCAACAACGCATGATAATTCAATGTGGAGATGGCTTGTTTACTCTAAGTATATGGTGGATATAAGAAATCAACAATACAGACATAGTTGTTCAAGTGCCTATCATTTTTTTGGGTAAAATATGCTTAGAGTTCCACTAGTTGGGTAACCATTTGTGGTGCATATGAATATGCAAAATCTCCAACTAACTCAAAGCCCAGCACTATGAACACAGCCTTGGGCTCGGACATGCTACCGACTCATGAGTCAACCTCCAAACTTTTGCAGGAAAAACAACCTAGAAACTTATTCCTTCGACGTACTATTAGAATAGTTGATCTTTGAGAATCTAGTTATTAAAAAAGACCAAAAAGAAAAAAGAAAGTGACAACTTGGTACACGTAAAAAATAACTGAGAACAGGCCCACAGCTCAAGAAATTCTATGAGAACATTGAGTAGTACCCTTAATGCGGCATTTTCAAGCCTCAGCGTCTTTGAATCCCCTTTCAATTCTTCCATTTTGGATTGAAGAGCAATTTTCTCCTCGTTTAAGGATTCACATGTCTTCACCAGTTCCTCATATTCAGCCTGCTTCCTTGACCTAGATCTCATTGCAGATTCTCTGTTAGCTTGTTTCCTTTTCTCTCGTTTCATCTGCCTTTCATCCTGAGGAAACCAACATGTGAATCAATAGTGTGAACAGCAGACTACATCTAAGAGTTATCTTAGAATTCGTTTCAACCAAGATGAGTCTGAACTCAATATTCCTCAAAAGTCATGAATATAACAACGTTTCAGTAAATAACCACCCTGCAGAGTCTTAAGATGGCTTTGTTTCACAGCTAACTCTGGCTCACAAAATTTGAGGAAAATCCAAATCCGTAATCTTTCATCAATCCCATGATTTCAATCAAACCAGTAACTGAGTGTTGTTCAAAACAAAGAAACAGAGAAGTATCAAAGTCCGCATTCTTTTAACAGTTATCTAACTTCAATTCAAACTGAAATGGAAGCTTGTAAGCAAATAATTAGTACCAAAATCAATAAGGTAAACATTTCCATACCAGAACTGAAGTACCAAAAGGCAACTGAGCACCAGTAGACGAAGCGACAAAGGCTGTGCTAACTCCTATTTTCTCATATGGTGAACCAAGAGATACTCCCACAAAACCAGCAGCAGGAGGCGCATAACCAGAATCATTTGTAGAAATCTCATTCACTTCCTCTTCAGTTGTTGGACTGACCTGAGTATGGACTTTCACATCATTTTCTGTCGTTCAGGTAATTAGGAAAAGAAATCAGTCAGTAACAGTATGAAGCAACTGGTTAAGGTAGCATGTCCAAATTTAGGACCATCACAGCATTGCTCCTTTATTAACGTAAATCCAGGCCATATTAAACCATCTGTTTTTTGTATACAAAATCAACAGCAGAGGGATGGACAGCAAAAAGAGGCCACCGAAATGTTCCTCCCACAAAATTAAACTCAGAAACCCTGATTGATAAAGTCACACATTACTATGCAAGTAAACATTAAAGAGAAGTGCTCACTCTTACCAGCAGATTGCATGCTGTCGGACCCATTTTTCCTCTGAGTGAGGTGGTTTGCCTGATAGATGAAATCCAAGATTACTTTAAAAATTTATCTTCATGCATAAATATCATCTAAAATAAAAACAGGAAACCCATCTCAGATACAGGCAGACATAACAAAAAAAAATAAAAACACTTACTTTAGTGTCACCATCATTTCCATCTTTCAAACCATCAATATTTTGTTCCAAACTGCATGTAGTCATAAGATCAAATTTAGTTTGGTTAAATCCAGCGACAAGATCAGAGAGTTAATAACTCGACGCTGCTGCCTGGTTCATAATGTGAAAGATAAAAGAATAAGGAAAGAAATTACCTCTTTGATGCCTCAAGGACTAGGTTCCCGTTATCACCCTCCTTGGGATTGTCATATCCAACTGGCACTGCAGTTCCATCCGATCCCTTTAACTTCTTTGTTACATCTTGGTCCATGTTGTCCAATGTTTTAGAAGGCCTTCCCTGTGCTTGAAGAAGCTGTCACAGGTAGCTAACCGTCAGGTTAGTCTTCACGGCTGCATATTTAGAATCAAAACACCGGCGACTATCTCACATTAAGAATGTACAACAAAACAAAATATATTGTTAGATAAAATTTAATGACCATCCTATTTCTTTCTTTAACAACTGGGACAAGGAAAAATCCAGATTTCGAATTACTAAATCAACAATTCAAAAATTTCGCGCACTTCAGCCGAACTCAATCAGATTTCGAATTACTGAACGAAATCTAACGCAAAAAAAAAAAAAAAAAATACAGCATTATCATTTCCACCAAAAAAGGAAGCCTTATAATTTTCACCCAAAAAAAAGAAGCTTTCTCCTCTTTAACCAAAAAAAAAAAAAAAAAAAAAAAAGAAGCTTCATCATCAACATTTCAATCAGCACATGCAACACACACAAAATTATACCTTTCTATCTCAGTAATTCATCATCCATATGCCCATTAGTTTCTACTTTTACCGTTCCCAAATTGTCACACAATTTCTAAATGATAAAATGGGATCACTTGCACACCAAATAATTCCCCCTTTGTTAATTAAAACTATTAAAAATTGTCATCTTCTCCAATTAATTTTGAAATATCAAATTTTCCCCTTACCTGCATCTGTAAATTTCAAGGATCCAGAAAGCTTCAACATACACACACACACACACCCCAAAACATAAGAGGAAATTGCAATATACCTGAATCTTCCGAAATCTACAGAACGGGGAACTGAAATCAAAGCAGTAATGTTGAAGGAGCCCCAAAAAACCCGAACCCTAGCTCCTCAATTTTCCCGCGTTTTACTTTCCTCGCTGGAAATTTTAGATGGGAAATTTTTGCCTTCGATGGTGGCGAACACCAGCCGGTCTGGTCGTGAACTGGGTTAATAGGATTGGCCCAGATGATCGATGTGGCACTATTGTTCTGAGCCGTACACGTGTTAAGAACTGATTGGCAGAGTGAAGTCTAAGTCAAACTTCATGCCACTTTTGCTGGAGATGTGATTCTCGTCGGATCCTCTTTGGAGGATGGCTTTTGCTGTTCAATGCCGCATCGGTCTGTGGGCCCCACCATAAATCATAGTCCTTTTGATTGCACCATTTTTTTATTAATTTTTGTTTTAAGATTTTAATTGATTTTTTTTTTGTCAAATTCTTTTTTTAAAAGGAATTTTCATAAAAAGAGTTTAAACTAAGTTTATTTTAATAAAAAAATCATGCTATAAGTTTAGTTAATTAAAAAAACTTAAATTTTAATGAAAATCCTTAAATTTTAATAAAAATGACAAAATAACTTAAATTTTAATGAAAATGACATACTTTTAATATTAAAAAAATTATAAAAAAAATATGACACTGTTTATGAAAACTTACGATACTGTTTATAAAACTTATTACATTGTTTATGAAATTTAACGATACTACATTGATTATAAAACTTAATGGTATTACATTCTTCTCTCTCCTCTTCTTGAATATTCTTGGCACATTCTCACATTCTAAACACATTTTATTCTTCTAATTTTCTTCGATACTCATTAAAATACAAAGATTTAAAAGTCATTTTCATTAGTTTTCCTATGAAAATATACACATATATTTATCTTTTTTTCGCAAAACATCAGTGTGATGGCGTATTTAAATTTCTCTGTCCAATGCATAAAAAATCATAGCAAAAAATTGAAGCACCGATATGAAAATAAAACAAAAATTTGTCTGCCATGTAAGAAAAAGCAGAGGCAATTACGTAGTTGGTTAGAAGTCAAGTCTGAGGGTAGTGTATGATTTTTTATCAAAATGCAAAGATTTGAAGCCATTTTCATTAGTTTTCATTTTTTTTAAATGGTCAAAAAAATTGCCTACAACTTGAGACAACTTGAGATTTAATAAGTCGAAGTTTTAAGTCATGTTATAACGTCCAACCTTAACCAGTTAATTTCGTCTTAGGTTTAAGTCATGTTATGACATCAAACCCTAACTGGCATGATTTCCAATTTGTATATACTCAGCAACCAAAAGAAAATTGTATTTCTCTATTAATGGTTCCCCAGGTACACAAGTAAGATTAAAGAAATTCAAGGATGAACTCGTACGGTACCGATACAGGTATGACGAAAAATACTACTTAAGAGTGACACCGGACTTTCAGTAACTACGAGGGCGAAAACTAACAGGATCCGGAGCTTCCCAGAGAATCTCGACCAGCAGCATATAGAACTTAATCTAACCTAACCTCCGAGCTCAAGGCCGCTCGAATCAATTTGGGCAGCATAAATGATTGTGTACTGCTTGAATAATCTGGTCGAAGAAGGCATTGAAGGCAATGCTGTAAATGAAGGGACTTCCCTTTCATAATGTATTGGTTGTATCAATAGGTGTGCGGTGCGTTAGATTACACGGCTGTACATATTGCTCCTGAAATGAAAGATGCACATGGATTAATAACCAGAATCATCGCATTCAAATATATCCTTCTGAGAAAATTACCGCAGTGAAGACGGAGAATCGTATTGAATGGCTTTCAGCATCTAAAGACCCTGTCACTCTTTCTCTATATGTCCTTGGTTGTGTTTTGCTAATTATTAAAAATTTCGTTTCCCTTTCCAACAAGCATTTTCGAAGAAAAAATGATTGAGAAGCGAGTACCCGCAGCAAGATGATTTCTTGCCTTGATATTAAGATAATAGTTATACTTCAGCAGTCTTTTCAAGAGAAAATCAGATATGATTGGGAAAAGTTTCATTATGTTCACAGTGATTTGTATATGTACTAGACGGAAAAGATCAACAGACCTGGCATCCAAGAGGAGCAGCAAAATTTCCGTTCATCAATGTGCTTCACATCAAGCCCAATAAACCATGACCCAGCACTAACATCATCATGAGCATAAGCACGAAGAATAGACCTGCAAACCGACAGAAAGCTATAAATTAAATCCTCCCAAAGTTGTCAGCATGCTACACGATACTGTTGAAACAGGAAAGAAAAAAAAGATAAAGAGGCGGCGGAAGTACCTGTTTATTGATATAAATTGAGCCAAGGCTCTAGAAATGGCGTACAATTCACCAGAAGCATGTCTAAAGTATCTGCATCAGAAGTCAAGTGAAATATTACATAGTACAACATGGGAATTTAAGAAGCAAATTCATATGCTATTATGAATTGCTTTAATACTTGAAGACTAACGGCCTAACGCCTACCATGATCGTTCAGATGAGAATCCTTTATATAAAGGACGTACAGAGAAAACTAAATAATCAGCTTTACACCTTTTCCTTGTACTTACCTAACTAACAAACATTTTCAGAGACACGTTGTTCCCTACAAAGAACTAATGACCACCCTCCCAGCATCATTAGGCAATCCAATATCATGTAGAACAGTCTATATGGAGAAATCACCAAGGCACTATAGAAAAAATCAGTTATCAGCGTTTATCACATGTTTGTTTTTTTAGGATAACATTTCATTGGGCTACTCTAACAGGTCACGTCAGTCCAAAAGAGCCTTTTACTTATCTCACTAAATGAACATTTTCAAAGATAATTTTTCCATACAAAGAACTAATGATCACCCTCCCGCCATAAATTTGCCTAAATTTCCACCATTTTTTGGGGGGGGGGGGGTGGAGAGAGAGAGAGAGAGAGAGAGAGAGAGAGCAACAACATGGATTAAGAAATCTATCTTGAAGGTAAAAGAAAAGAAAAAAGTACGTGCTTACGATTTTGCATCGCCAAATTTCCACCAGTCTGGCTCATACCACTTGCGTGTTCTGTGCCATTGAGACAACACAAACCAATAAAATAGTTATATCTAATCTAAAAATAACTCATAATTTCAAAGTTTCCATCATATAAAGCATGTTTTCTGCACTCACGGTTCAGAGAAGACTTCGCCTGATTTCATGCACCCAATATAGACATGAGGCTTATCTAAATAAGTAGTTAGAGTTGCTCCCAGGACATCTGAGTCATAATAAAGGCTGAATATTAGTATGCACTTCAAATAATTTGTTTAGGGGCATAAACTTTTCTGACACGGTTAACAGCCAACCATTACTTTCCTTATTTTTCAGTAACCCCGTCACTCAATTTATTTGGCTCCGCCACGACTTATCAATTATACCCTGTGGTGTCCAAATCTAAGCTACTCTGAAGTTAGACAAACAATTTCAGCATTTTTCACAAAGGTTCTATTGGTAAAACAATGGCAAAAAAGAAAAAAAATCAAATTCCTAAATTGTAATTATATATAATGCAGCTTTGATTTCCGAGATACAAATGAACACTTCACTTGAGATCATGACTAAATAACCATATACCTATGCTCTCATCTGGCAGTTTCTTAGGTTTTCTTCAATCATAAGCACAGGTTTTTAACTACTAACTATTTTTATCCAAAATAATTACCAGAATTTAATTTAACACAGGTATAACAGAAAGTCTCACGAGGATTAACTATCTTATTGTTTACTAGAAAAATTATATTACAACTACCTACCAATATTAACATAAACATCATCATTGACCTTAACATAAAACTCGGCATCCCAGTTCTCTACAGCATGAATATAGAATGATTTTGTCTTTTTTGGCCACTCCTCAGATGCCTCCACTTGATCGTCCTGTAAAGTAAAAGAACAATTTAAACAACAATGTGTCGTAAACTTATCTGCCTGTAGCAATTTCAGCTATCCCACATATGATAACATGAATCAACCATGAGGGATGTCCACAAATTTTTGTTAAGGTCCATGAGCATGATAAAAGAAATAAAAATACGGAATGCACAGGGAGCTTTCCTCAAACTAAACTCAACGTTACATTGGCTAGTTCATACCTACAAACTCGCCATGAGTTAGTCATACTCTAACTAGCCATCACTTAGTGTCTATGCTACATACCAACTAGCTCAAAGCCTCGAACAGAACCTTGAATTTTTCACAGGACTTCTTACGGAATCCATATAGAATCACATGTGCGTAGTAATGAAAACAAGTTCTTGACAATACGAAATTTCACCCAACTAAAAGATCCCACCAAATATATGGAAAACAGATTTGTTCAAATGGTTAACATACAAGCATAATGAAGTCGTTGGTCCGCTCATTTTCTTCGTCTATTTGCTTGTCCAAACTGTCTCCACGATTTGGGCTGCAAGATACACATACTTAACTGAACAGAACTGTAGACAATTCCTTATCATCATTCTAAATCATTGATATACAGACCTTCTTCCAATCACAAATCGCACAATGATGCCCTTTTCATCTGCCAATCTTTTTAGAGCTTCACCTGCACATATATACATAAAATTGCTATAACTGCTAGAAGAAGTTTGGTCCACCATCGCAAACCAAAACATTTATGACTAGAAAATTGGTAGGAGTGCATCAGACTGTAGCACTAACATGGATAATTTATTCGCATAAAATTGCATTGAGGATAAAAGAAAAGAACGACGAAAATTGCACAAAGTACCTGTAGGCATCCACGCCTTACGAATTGCCTCTCTATTTTTCTTGCGGTCAAATGTTGTAATAATTCCTATAACAGCTAAAAGCTTCTTCTTAGATTGAGCCCCCTCATTTTTAGACAAGCTCTTTGGGACGAAACCTTCCTGTCTTGCCGCAGTCAGTTGCATCTCAAGGGCGGACAGCTGCTTCTGTTGCTCCCTACAAAACAACCATCATTCATAACAGCAAAGACGATATCATAAAATTCGAAAATGACACCTTTTAAAGAATAGCTTTGGTCAATTACCTGCAAGCTATAATTTTAAGTGTATCGTCTACGGATACAGCAGATTGACCCTGAAAGTAAAAAGTTGACGATTATCTGCCTAATTCGTAATCTCTTCGATACATATATACAGAAGTTAATGCACGCATTTGAACTGAAATTGGAAGGTAAAACATAGACAAAAACAAAATTAAAAAAAAAAAAAACGAAAAGGTAAAAAATTACCTGACCATTTTTTCTATCAA